GGCGGATCGAAGACGCCTACGGCGAATCACCGCCGCCCCCTGCCTTTTTGGAAGCGCCTATGTGGCCGAACGTTGAGGCCAGACCTGCCAAGCTATCGGACCATGTGTTCCCCGAATCGGTTTGGAAAGCCTTCGGGGAACACGTGGGCATCTTGAAGGTCATCTTGGCCGTCTTGGAGGCCTCTTGGGCAAGCTTTGGGCGATCTTTGGGGCTTTTTGGGCCGTCTCGGGCCAGCTTCGAGCCAACTTCGGCCATCTTGGTGGGTTCCTGGCACGTCTGAAGCCGTCGGAAGCCGTTTGGGGGGCCTCTATGGGCCGACTTGGGGCCCGCTTGGAATGCTCCAGGGCCGTCTTGGAGGCCATCTTGGGCGTCTTGGAGGCCATCTTGGGCGTGTTGGAGGCCTCTTGGGCCCTCTTGGGGCCCTCTAGGGGCCATCTTGGAGGCCACTTGGGCCATCATGGGGCTCTCTTGGGGGCCTCTTGGGCGATCTTGGGGGCTTCTTGGGCCGTCTTGAGCCGTCGGAGAGCCGAAAAGGCGCAAATGCCAAAATCCTTCAAAAACCAAGGGAAAATCAATGATTTTGGCCTCTTCGGACTCTCCTGGAGGACCTCTTGGAGGCCTCTTGGGCCGTCTGGGAGGCCTCTGGGGGGCCTCTTGGGCCGTCTTGGGCCGTCTTGGACTCTCTTGGGCCGTTTTGGAGGCCGTCTTGGACCATCTCGGGCGGACTTGGAGGCCATCTTGGGCCATCTTCGCGATTTTTTGAGGATGTCCCGAGCGAAACGGCCGTTTTTGGGCATTGACAGACGGATTTTCGGAAATTTGCGGGTGGCCGGCGGGACGGGCCGAAGCCCACTGGGGAGTTCTTTTAGAAAAAGAACCAAAACCAAAACCAGCTCGTCCAGCACGCCGTGCACCCCTGCAAGCAGGGGGCGGCGGATCGAAGACGCCTACGGCGAATCACCGCCGCCCCCTGCCTTTTTGGAAGCGCCTATGTGGCCGAACGTTGAGGCCAGACCTGCCAAGCTATCGGACCACGTGTTCCCCGAATCGGTTTGGAAAGCCTTCGGGGAACACGTGGGCATCTTGAAGGTCATCTTGGCCGTCTTGGAGGCCTCTTGGGCAAGCTTTGGGCGATCTTTGGGGCTTTTTGGGCCGTCTCGGGCCAGCTTCGAGCCAACTTCGGCCATCTTGGTGGGTTCCTGGCACGTCTGAAGCCGTCGGAAGCCGTTTGGGGGGCCTCTATGGGCCGACTTGGGGCCCGCTTGGAATGCTCCAGGGCCGTCTTGGAGGCCATCTTGGGCGTCTGGGAGGCCATCTTGGGCGTGTTGGAGGCCTCTTGGGCCCTCTTGGGGCCCTCTAGGGGCCATCTTGGAGGCCACTTGGGCCATCATGGGGCTCTCTTGGGGGCCTCTTGGGCGATCTTGGGGGCTTCTTGGGCCGTCTTGAGCCGTCGGAGAGCCGAAAAGGCGCAAATGCCAAAATCCTTCAAAAACCAAGGGAAAATCAATGATTTTGGCCTCTTCGGACTCTCCTGGAGGACCTCTTGGAGGCCTCTTGGGCCGTCTGGGAGGCCTCTGGGGGGCCTCTTGGGCCGTCTTGGGCCGTCTTGGACTCTCTTGGGCCGTTTTGGAGGCCGTCTTGGACCATCTCGGGCGGACTTGGAGGCCATCTTGGGCCATCTTCGCGATTTTTTGAGGATGTCCCGAGCGAAACGGCCGTTTTTGGGCATTGACAGACGCATTTTGGGAAACGCGGGTGGCCGGCGGGACGGGCCGAAGCCCACTGGGGAGTTCTTTTAGAAAAAGAACCAAAACCAAAACCTGAATCATCCAGCACGCCGTGCACCCCTGCAAGCAGGGGGCGGCGGATCGAAGACGCCTACGGCGAATCACCGCCGCCCCCTGCCTTTTTGGAAGCGCCTATGTGGCCGAACGTTGAGGCCAGACCTGCCAAGCTATCGGACCACGTGTTCCCCGAATCGGTTTGGAAAGCCTTCGGGGAACACGTGGGCATCTTGAAGGTCATCTTGGCCGTCTTGGAGGCCTCTTGGGCAAGCTTTGGGCGATCTTTGGGGCTTTTTGGGCCGTCTCGGGCCAGCTTCGAGCCAACTTCGGCCATCTTGGTGGGTTCCTGGCACGTCTGAAGCCGTCGGAAGCCGTTTGGGGGGCCTCTATGGGCCGACTTGGGGCCCGCTTGGAATGCTCCAGGGCCGTCTTGGAGGCCATCTTGGGCGTCTGGGAGGCCATCTTGGGCGTGTTGGAGGCCTCTTGGGCCCTCTTGGGGCCCTCTAGGGGCCATCTTGGAGGCCACTTGGGCCATCATGGGGCTCTCTTGGGGGCCTCTTGGGCGATCTTGGGGGCTTCTTGGGCCGTCTTGAGCCGTCGGAGAGCCGAAAAGGCGCAAATGCCAAAATCCTTCAAAAACCAAGGGAAAATCAATGATTTTGGCCTCTTCGGACTCTCCTGGAGGACCTCTTGGAGGCCTCTTGGGCCGTCTGGGAGGCCTCTGGGGGGCCTCTTGGGCCGTCTTGGGCCGTCTTGGACTCTCTTGGGCCGTTTTGGAGGCCGTCTTGGACCATCTCGGGCGGACTTGGAGGCCATCTTGGGCCATCTTCGCGATTTTTTGAGGATGTCCCGAGCGAAACGGCCGTTTTTGGGCATTGACAGACGCATTTTGGGAAATTTACGGGTGGCCGGCGGGACGGGCCGAAGCCCACTGGGGAGTTCTTTTAGAAAAAGAACCAAAACCAAAACTGAATCATCCAGCACGCCGTGCACCCCTGCAAGCAGGGGGCGGCGGATCGAAGACGCCTACGGCGAATCACCGCCGCCCCCTGCCTTTTTGGAAGCGCCTATGTGGCCGAACGTTGAGGCCAGACCTGCCAAGCTATCGGACCACGTGTTCCCCGAATCGGTTTGGAAAGCCTTCGGGGAACACGTGGGCATCTTGAAGGTCATCTTGGCCGTCTTGGAGGCCTCTTGGGCAAGCTTTGGGCGATCTTTGGGGCTTTTTGGGCCGTCTCGGGCCAGCTTCGAGCCAACTTCGGCCATCTTGGTGGGTTCCTGGCACGTCTGAAGCCGTCGGAAGCCGTTTGGGGGGCCTCTATGGGCCGACTTGGGGCCCGCTTGGAATGCTCCAGGGCCGTCTTGGAGGCCATCTTGGGCGTCTGGGAGGCCATCTTGGGCGTGTTGGAGGCCTCTTGGGCCCTCTTGGGGCCCTCTAGGGGCCATCTTGGAGGCCACTTGGGCCATCATGGGGCTCTCTTGGGGGCCTCTTGGGCGATCTTGGGGGCTTCTTGGGCCGTCTTGAGCCGTCGGAGAGCCGAAAAGGCGCAAATGCCAAAATCCTTCAAAAACCAATGGAAAATCAATGATTTTGGCCTCTTCGGACTCTCCTGGAGGACCTCTTGGAGGCCTCTTGGGCCGTCTGGGAGGCCTCTGGGGGGCCTCTTGGGCCGTCTTGGGCCGTCTTGGACTCTCTTGGGCCGTTTTGGAGGCCGTCTTGGACCATCTCGGGCGGACTTGGAGGCCATCTTGGGCCATCTTCGCGATTTTTTGAGGATGTCCCGAGCGAAACGGCCGTTTTTGGGCATTGACAGATGGGTTTTATGAGATTTACGGGTGGCCGGCGGGACGGGCCGAAGCCCACTGGGGAGTTCTTTTAGAAAAAGAACCAAAACCAAAACCTGAATCGTCCAGCACGCCGTGCACCCCTGCAAGCAGGGGGCGGCGGATCTAGTGGGCTTCGGCCCATCCCGCCACCGTGCCTGGGTTGTGGGTCCGAGTTCTCAGGGATGCTTCTTGGGGTCTCTTCGGAGCGCTCTCGGGGGCCGCTTTCGGGACGTTTTGGGGCCTCTTGGGAGCCTCTCGGGGGCCTCTCGGGACTTCTGGTGGCCTCTTGGGGGCCTCTCGGGGCCTCCTGGGGGCCTCTCGGGCCGAGGGTTTGAAATGTTCGTTCGGGTCCCCCATCGGGCCCCCCTTTTAGAGCTGTCTTGGGCGCCTCTTGGGTCGTCTTGGGCGCCTCTTTTGCTGTCTTGGGGCCCTCTTGTGCCGTTTTGGGCCCTCTTGGAGGCCTCTTGGGAGGTCTTGGAGCGATCTTGAGGGCCACTTGGGCCGTCTTGGAGCGTCGGGAAGCCGGAATGGCGACAACGCTAAAATCTTTCAAACACCCACGGTTATCAACATTGGAACCTCAGGGGGTTCTCTTGGGAGTGCTCTTGGAGCTCTCTTCGGGCGTCTTGCGGCCTCTTGGGCCGTCTTGGAGCCATCTTGGGCGTCTTGGACCGATCGTTCGGCGACTCGGGGCTCTCTTGGACTGTCTGACATACCTCTTGGGGCCTTCTTGGCCCATCTTCGGGCCCTCTTGGGCCCGACAAGATCATGCGGGAAGACTCCAGGATCCCCAGGGGAAACGTGCCAAGCCCCGGAAGATTTGGCAATTTCGGGTCCAGGCCCCTGAAAGAATCTTCAGGATTGAGGACTGAGGCTCCAGAGGATCGAAGAAGGGACCCGAGGACACTCCAGCTCATGCCTGAAGGGCTCTGTTGCGGATTGTCCTCCTGGGTCCTTTGGGCCACCTTTGGGGGCCTTTCGTTTGCCTCTTGGGGCTTCTCGGCAGCTCTTGCGCTGTCTCCCATCCTTGCGACCTCCTGGTGCGCACTTGGGCCGTCTTGAGGAAGAGTCGCTGTTCGGCCCCCCTGGGACGTCCTCCACCCCGTGGGACCCCCTGGGGCCTTCTGGGACCAGCACGCTGGGCTGGCGTGCCTGGGGTCCCAGCCAGGATGGCCACGGGGAGTGAAGGGGGAATAGCCTTTGAACGAGAAACCTCCTGCACACGCCAGCAGTGTTCGCGGACCCGGTAGTCGGTGTCCGTCGTCCACGCAGGCGGCCGATGTGCTCCGTGGCCGTTTTATTTCAAGCGATTTCTGTTGAGCGCATTTGTTTGTGACGCAGCTTCTCTGCAGGTGCCTTCGAAGCAGTTGTTGCTCCCCCCCTCAGCAATGGCACTCTCCTCGGCGCCGGCCTGCAACTGTGGCGGATTCCACTTGGCCTGCCGCATGCGGGACATGGATCTGCCCGTTGAGAATTTCCCCGCGAAGGTGAGCAGTGCCGTGGACAGCAGGAGCACATCATCCACTGCAGCTTCTTCCGACCACGAGTCCGACCACGAGTGCGACCATGCTGTCAGGCACGCCGCGCCCAACGGGGTTCGCAGCGAGGCCGTCCTCGGCGGCGGCGTGTGCGCGTGCGGCGGCTTCCACCACGCCTGCCGGCTGCGCGACTCGGCGCCCCTCGAGCCGGCCCGGCCCCTCGCGGCACCAGAAGGCCTCCCCGTGGTGGCTCTGCCCTGGCCGGAGGCAGAGGGGCCGCTGAGCGAGGCCGTGGTGGGCGGCGCGGTGTGCAGGTGCGGGGGCTACCACCGCGCTTGCCGGCCAGTGGCCAGCGGGGGCCTTGCGCGCGCCACTCCCGCGCCTGGGCCGCTGGCGGCGGCGCCGGGCGGCATCGACAGCGCCACCGTCGCTGGCCCGGCCGCCTGCGGGTGCGGCGGCTACCACCGCGCGTGCAGGCTGGGCGGCGACCGCGCCCCCGCGGCGCGGGCGTCCGAGGGGCCTGCGCCCGCCGCGGCGGCCCCCGGCGGCGCCCGCTGCTCGCCGAGCGTCGCAGCGCTCGGCTCGGGGTCCTGCCGCTGCGGCGGCTACCACCGCGCCTGCCAGTCCCACGCGCTGGGCTCGCCCCGCCAGGTGCTGGAGCCGGCCTCTGCCGTCGCGGCGACGCTTGAGGGCGCGTGGAGCTCCGTCGTCGCTGGCCTCTCGCGCGCGTGGGCCGCCGCGGGCGGTGCCCTCGCCGACCGTGAGGCCGCGCCTGGGGCGTGCCAGTGTGGCGGCTACCACCGCGGGTGCCGCTGAGGCTCCGGGGCTCTGGCCGCGCCAGGCCTTTGGGTGCGGCGGCAAACGACCAGGGGGGTGGAGGGAGCACAAGGGGCCCCCCCCTCTCCCCTCGCTCTGGAGCTCGGTGGGGCTGGCGTCATGACTGTCTGAGCAGTGGTGCTGGAGCTCGAGTGCGCTTTTTTTTGCTCCTCAGCAGTGCTCTGCGAGAGGCCGAGCCTTGAGAAACCTTGGAGAGGCTGACCTTAGGCGTTCCAACCCTTTTGGAGAGGGTGGAGGGCTCTTCAAAAACAGTGCTCTGGAGTGTTTTTGTGTGTGAAAATCTTCTAGCCCTTGGAGAGGGTGCAAGGAGTGACGTGATCAGCCACGCGCTACCCTGGAGCACATCTACTTGTACAGTTTGGACAGGTGGCGTCTGGCTCTTTCACAACGTTGCTCGGCAGGCAGGAACACAGTCTGGCCCTTGGAGAGAGCTATTTGTCCTGCCTGAGGCCTCGCGCTGCCCGGGAACGCGTGTAATCGCATACTTTAGACGGGTGGGTGGGTGGCTGTTTCAACGGAGCTCACCAGGCTGGAGCTTGGCCTCGGCCGGCTCCCTGGTGTTCGGTCTTTGTCATCGTGCGCCGTACTGTTGAATCATGCGCAGCAGCCGTGTTTGAATGCGTCTTGGCTGTTCGAGCATGTTGGGTGCGAGGGCACTCATTCGTCATTCGTTAAAGCCAGAGCGGGGTACAGCAGCCTTGTTTCCAACGGGGGCTGTGGTGCCGGGCGATTCGCTCTCTCATAACGTTGTCCTCGGAAATGCGTCATGCCATGTCGCACATGTGAGGGGACCCCCGGCAGGCTGCCAGGGTGTCGGCAAATTTGTAATTACAGCTTGGACGGTTTGCGTTTTGCTTTTTCGACGTTGCTCGGCAGGCTTGAGCGCACCCTGGCCCTCGGACAGGGCATACGGGGCTACTTGGCCTGCCTGAGACCTTGCGCTGCCCCGGAACGCGTGTAATCGCACACTTTGGACGGGGGGGCCGGCCTTTTCGACAGAGCTCACCGGTTTTGTGCATGGCCTCGGCCCTGTTTCCTGGTTTCCCATCTATGTCAGAGCCTCGTGCTGTTCGCACGCCAGATTCATTCTTTACTCATACAGCTGTTTTTGAATGAGTCTTGGCTGTTCGAGCAGGTTGAAAGCGAGGGCATCGGTTCGTCATTCGTTTTGGCCAGAACGAAGTACAGCTCCAGGTTTCCAACGGGGGTTGCGGTCAACAAGAAAAGAATGCTGGGTGATTCGTTCTCTCAGGATCTTGCCCTCGTTAGTTCACGTGCGTGGTCGTGTCTTGCCCTGCCGCACATGGGTTCCTTTCTTTGGTGCTCTCACCTGTCCGCACGAGATGCATCAAATGTCCCTGTTCTCACGAACAGCACTGCAACGGCGCGACGGGGGAACGTCTAGTCATATCGTGAGCCCTGGAAGATGGGCCCAAACAGTGCCATGTGGCCCACATGCGTTCGCTGCCACGCGCGCGTGTTGATCTCTTTCCAGGACAACTGGTTTTCGAAGCATTTCAAGATAGAGCTCGCGAACTTGCGGCGATTTTGGAGCCTCATGTGCCGTCGTGGA